CTTGCTTATACAGTGTTTAAATAATATTTACAGCAAATTTATTTATAAGTCGTGTAATGAGTTTTTTAAAACAATTATATACAATTAATATAAATTTGTTAAATTTCAATCAAATCAAAAATTATGCCAAAAAAGGTTAACCGAATCATGCAAAAACGTTTTGAAAAAACCATTATACCGGCATGGTGTTTAAAAAAGAAGTGTTATTATTAAAAAAAAATCCCTTAATTAGTAAATGACAACTTCTGATTAAAAAAAAAATAACATTAAATTTCACATTGTTCATTTATTATCAAGATTATTTTGGTGATTTTAATCATTTTCAAAGTGATTTCCTAAATTTTTTGGCCAACGAAGAATCATACATAGCTGGTCAAAAGTTACAGATACGATGTATGATGAGTTTAGACTTTAGAAGGTTCGTGCCAGCCTGGCTCGCAGAAAGGAAAAAAAGCCATCAATTTGCGGCGTTAATTTACATTAATATTCTTTGTTTGTTTGGCATAATTGGTGACTTGGCTTTTTCAATCTTCCTACTTTTTAAATACGTCTCTTATTATTAATATAAAGCTTAATTAACTAATTTAAATAAACTAATAATATTAATTAAATTAGTTAATATGATATGGCTTTTATAAATACCCTAAACATCTTTTTAATTTTCTCCTTTACTTTTTGAGGGAATATTAATAGGATTAATTTGAGCGAAAATTCATTAACATATGAACTAAATATTACATATATGACTAACATTAACTCCCTAATTAAGTCGTATATTAAAAATCAGAGGACTAGTAAATGAAAAAAAAATTCAGAAAAAGAAGTTTAAAATTACTTACATCTTAAATAAAGAATTCCTAAAAAAAACTTCTTGTTATTTATAAATTTAGTATTGTCAAAATATATTAAAAATTATTACCAAATATAATTTGGGATTAGTAATTTCAAACTTCTTTATATGATATTCTCCCTAAAAGATTTAATTGAACCGAAAATTATATATTGAAATAATTTAGTCTTCTTAATATTAGAGCATACTTATGTGTTTATAATAGCAATTAGCAGCAGGAAAAAAAAAAGCAATTAGCGAATAATTTAGTTTAATAAAATAGTAATTCAAATTAATGATATAACATGGATGTTTGCATCTGGAATTTTTGAATTTAAATTTTGTCATATATTTATTTCTGAATATTAATTCATATACCCAAAGAAATTCAAAAAAAAAAATTTAAAGTTTCAAAGAAACAACTTTAAATGAGATAAGAGCAAAGTTGTCAAAATAAAAATATTTTTTCTTCCCGCCCCTCCTAAATTAAACAAGGTAACATAAAAATGCATCTCCTTCCCGCCCCTTTCATCAATCCAAACAACTAATGCTAAAATCCCTCCATCCCTTCTCCTCTTTTATCTTCTATTAAAATTTCTCTCCTCCCTTCTCCTCTTTTGAGCCAAACATATCCTCAAGAGAATTTTAGAATGGGAAAAGTTCATCTTCAATTTAGTCAACATTTTTTCTTTATACTTTGATTCTAAATATAATATTTTAATTTGTTATCTTTCTTAAATTTATAGTTTTTTTGTTTGAATTCTCCTTATTAATTATATATACTAAAGGAGTTTTTTTTTAATAACGAAGTAGTTTTGAATGTAAATTGACGGGAAAAACGTTTTTAACATAAATAATTAAAATGACTATTTTGAAAAAATCAACCCACATTTTTAATAAACAAGTAGCTTGAATTTTTTTTAAAAAAATTTCTATAAATTAATATATCTAACTCATATATTTAAAACTACAAAACGTGTGTATAGCATGAAGATGCTTTGGAAGACTATGTGTCTTTTTTTGACCTGAGAAGACTATGTGTCTTTTGCATGTTGTTTTGCAGCGACCAAAAAGCATTATATGATCCTCAAATAAACAAAGCAGGCATGTGATTGTGTAAGAACACACAAAAGAAAGTTAGTGCGAAGCAAATAATCTTAGAAACATCTCATAGTTTCATATATAGAATATATGCCAAAGTTGATTACGATTCATAATAAAGTAAAGTATATGTGCTTTATTCAAACACAAGTCTTTAATTGAGGATCAACTTTTGACGTGTAAGTTATATATTACTTCCGATTCTAAATATAAAATCTAGTTTGTAATGTAAATTATACTATAAACTAAATACTATATTTAACGCTGGGAGTTATACGTGATCTTAGAGCATATGATGTTGAATTAGTTGTTGGAATTTTTTTAATAAATTTTATTATGAATTAGTATTTATTAGTTATTAATATTTTTTGCCAACAAAGTTAATTATTAACATATATACATATACTCTTCCAGTCTTTAATATAATACTTAATTACTAAGTTGATTTTGATCCTAAATATAAGATATCTTTCTCATATTTATCAATATTTCCTAAATTATCACTATGAATATTCTCTTAACCATAATTAAGTAGAAAAGAGAAAAAGAATATTAAGAAAGATGATTATGATGTTTTAGCCTTTAGGAAAAATATGTCTTATTTTTTATAATTAACTAACTTACCCTACCTTCTTGTAATATTTTCACTTTCACTTTACCTTTTGAATTTATTATTTTTTTTAATGAACTCTCTTTATTGTTCACATATATTGAGTGGGTTTTTTTTTTTGTTATCAAGGAGGTAATTTCCAATCCAAATGATTGAGAGTTGCATTTTAAGAAAAGTAATATATATTTGTTATAAATAACTCATTAACTGTTTTTTTTAAATATCTATAAATTAATTATCCTTTTTCCAGAAAAAGACAAAAAAATGATTGAGAGTTGCATTTTAAGAAAAGTAATATATATTTGTTATAAATAACTCATTAACTGTTTTTTTTAAATATCTATAAATTAATTATCCTTTTTCCAGACAAAGACAAAAAAATTAATGAGATAAATAATTGCAGATTATCATAGGTAATGGGATAGAAATATTTAGTAAAAAAAACTACGGAGGGAGGAAGAGGAGGCTATAGTAATTAGTAACAGAGGTCTTTGAAAACACACTAATTACTGAATTTGAAGGAAAATGGAGTTTCAATATTAATTAATTATGGAGATTTTATACGTTTTCTTAATGGTATTCAGTTTTTACTCAAAAAAAAGATTTTAAACGTTAGTGCCATGGAGGCTATTTTGTCATTTTGTGTTGGAACCTTGGCAAATACTCACAACAAAGTCACACACACATAACTAATAGAACATTTTTTTAAAAATTTGTGATAAATTAAATTGACTTCTTTCAGTACCAAGTCCGGATAATTTTCAAATAACTAATCATTTTGATAAAATAATTTGTTCTCTTTTAAAAAAATTAACCAATAATTGAACCACTTGAAAAAGAAATTGTAATAAATATTTAATAATTTCCCTATCTATCGACTAGCAAATTACATGTGAATAAGAAAAGTAGATGCTAGAAAAGGAAACATTATAAAGCTAAAATGTTTATTGACTTTAAACAAGAAAAAGAAAAAGGCAAAAAAAAAAAAAGGAGAGAAAAGCTGGAAGACATCAATACTCTTTCTGAAAGTAAAAATAAAGTGGAGAGGGGGAAATCCCAAGCTAGGGGCTCAAAAAGTGTTTAGTTGATTTGCAGTAATTATTCCGGGGGGAAAAAAAACAGAGGTTGGGAAGTAAATTAGAACTTCTCACACAAGTTCATGAAGAGAAGATGATGGCAAAAATCTACATTTATATATATATTAATTTTATATGTAATTTTATTTTGACCTTGTAATTTTATAAAATATTTTTTCAAACTTCTAACTTTAACACTATCAATCTCAACAAGTGGATGTTAAAATTTTAAATGTTAATAAAAGGGAAAATAAATCTGCATATCCTTTTAGTTTCACACAATTTTTAATTAGGTCTTTGAACTTTTTTTTTCTTTTTTTTTAAATCCTTATTGTTTTAGCCGTTTGTGTAATTAATCCTTACTGTTAATTTAAGACTAACAGAGCCCTAACATTGTTTATTTGGAGGGAGGTGGCTGATATGACTCTGTGTGCCGAACATTTGAAGCAAGACACATCGACATGGACTGCCATTGTGAGGAAGGAGGAAGAGAACGCCGTCGATTTGCTGTAGCGAAGAATGGGGAGAGAAGGTCGTTGACTTGTCGTCACACTCATATTGGATTCTCATTCTTTGAACTTCTCATCGAATAGGTAAGGGATGTGGTTCTTCTTCCTCTCATTGGCTTCTGATTCTTCAAATTTGGATTCTTCTCATTCTTTGAACACACTTTCTGAGTACTTACTCGAAAGGTCCAAGTAGATTTGTGTTGCTCAAAGTTTTGGTCAGGATTGGATGATAGGATTGTAGGTATTGCTTCTGACTCTTCTCACTCTTCCTGTGTAGATAAAAAATGTCTCAAACTGAATGTGAGGGTCTATTGCTATTTAATTGATTTGATTCTTGCTTGGGTTTGATTTGAGGGTCGTGATAGTTTCTTTTTTTTTTTTTTTTTTTGGTTGATTCGAGATCATTTATTGCTTCTTTTCCACCATAAAGATGTGATTAACTGGACCATTTATGTTGCAGCCTTTCATCCAAATGTTAGCACCTGGTATGAGTAAGATAAAAATACTAAAAATCACAGTTTTGCCGTGTCGGAAGCTTGGTAAAGCTTTTGCTATTATAAGATAGTTTTGATTGTGTAATGTGCTTTGTTTTGCTGTGTAGGAAGCTTGGTGCTTGGTTGCTGATAGTTTAAGTGCAAGATCAGAGAGCTTAGGCAAGAAATTTGCAATTACAAGGTCAGTGAGCTTGGTTGCTGATAATTGAAGTGCAAGATCCATGAATCTGGTGCAAGGCATGTAAAGAATAGGCTGATGCTATTGCAATTGAATAGGATTGTTAGTTGCAGGTTTTGAAAGTCCTGTTTGATGTAGATTAAGTGTTATTTCCAAGATGCATATGTAATTGGCACTTTGGAAGAATGGGGTAAATCTAAAGGTAAACTGCAAGTTGTCATTTAATAGCATCCAAAAGAATTTAACTAACAAATACATAGTCATTCCCCCATTCATAAAGCAACAGCAAAATATGGGCATATAAATTAAAGCCATGTTCAAAAAAAACACATGAAGGCACTTTTCACGTATCAAAACAGCACAACCCGTAAAGTTGTTCAATGTTTCTGCACTGGAATACAGCACATTACGATAAAAAGAGGTTCATCTACCACTTAAATTACAACACACAGTATCTAACACTTTCAGAACTTACAACTAACAGTCCTATTCAACTGCAATCAACATCAGCCTATTCTTCGCATGACTTGCACCAGGTTCAATGCTCTTGTGCTTAAATTATCAGCAACCAAACTCACTGATCTTGCACTTAAATTATCAGAAACCAAGCACCAAGCTTCCTACACAGCAAAACAAAGCACATTACAAATTCAAAACTTCACTGTGGTCAAATTGAGAAATTGGAATGATATTGTGTTTAATTCCTCGAAATAATTTTCCCTAAAATCAACTCTAAGTTGTCAAATTGAGTGTCTTTGTAGTAAAAAGAAGCAATAAACAATCTTGAATTAGCAAAACTATCACAGTTGAGCAAGCATCAACCAATTAAATAGCAGTAAACGCCCACATTCATTTTGAAACATTTTTTATCTACATAGGAAGAGGGAGAAGAGTCAGAAACAAGACCCAAATCTGATAAAATCCTCCTGTTCAACGCCGATCAAAACTTTGAGCAACTCGAATCTATTTATATCTCTTGCTTAAGTGCCCAGAAATCGTTCTCAAAGAATGAGAAGAATATTTTTTGCTGGTCAATTAAAGCATGAGAAGAATCTAGATTTAGAGAATCAAAAGCCAACAGGAGGAAGAAGAACAAGATCACTTACTATTCGATAGCAAGTTCGAAGAATGAGAAGCCAATGAATTTGGCAACCAATCGACGACCTTGCCTTCCTCCTTCCTCAAGAATCTACGTTGTGTAGGGAATCAGATTGTTTAATGTTTTTTTTTTTTTTAAATATTGTGCCCCATACGCAGCGCCGCAGCGGCGCCAGAGCCATCAGCCACCTTCCCTACAAATAAACGGTGTCGTAGCACTGTTAGTCCTAAATTAATGGGAAGGACTGACGTCACAAACTGAAAAAACAATTAGGATTCGATAAAAAAAAAAAAAAAAAAAGAAGTTGAGGGACCTGATTAAAAATGAGATAAAAGTACATGGACCTGCATATGTATTTTTTCTTAATAAAATATTTTTAAATATTGACAAGCTAAGTTTAATCTTCTTGTTGGTACAATAAGTTTAGTTCTTTTAAAATAACACTAATTGACATAAAAAAATCATCATTTAACATTAATAATATTGGGCTTATATGACTAAAAAATACTTCATAAAATTAAATAATAAAAAAATTATTCAAAGTTAAATGAAAGAACAAAAAAAACTCTTTTCCTCTTATCCATGAAGTGTTCATGGGCTCTCTTAGGAACTAATGCACGAAAAAATCAAATCCAACCGGCCAGTTCAAATTGAAAAAACAATGAACCCACTCTAGTTTAACTTGTAAACAGGCCTCTGATCTGATCAACTCGGAATAAATCGGTATGAATCAGGAAAACTGGTGAGCGCCGAGTAAACCTACTAGTCCATGAGAGTTGGCCTTTTAAAAATTTAAAAAAAAAAAATTAAAGCTTCTTTCTTGCTCATTGTTTAGTGGAAAAGCCATGGGAGCTACTCATGCCCTACCTCTGCTCGTCGAAGGCAAGGAGGAAGAAGTGTAATGAGTAATTGATGTGCGTTCAAGGATGAAAGAAGTTGTGACGGACTGATCCGGACTGAAGGAGGAAAAAGAATCTGCATTTTGCACGTTCAAGGAGGAAAGATGAAAGAGGCAAGAAGTTATGTATGTCCCGTGATACCAGCGTGCCAGGCCTTTGGTTTGAGGGGAGGGTAGGAAAGAGAGGAGGAAAAATGAGCCCCTCCCCTCATTTGGTTAAAACTTTTAGAGTGAAGAAAAGCCAAAATATCCCCTCCCTCTTCTTCCTCTCCCCATTTTAGCTTCCTTCAAATTAGGGGTTTTTGGAGGGGTTTAAATTTTTAGACCATTATACCCTTATAGTTTTTTTAATACTTCACTACTATCCATAAAATATATTATTATAATATTTATTTCAAATAAAAAATATATTAACGTAAATAAAAAATAAAAAATATAAATTATTATAATTAAAAAATATATTATAAAAAATTATTTAAAAATAAAAATTATTTAAACAAAAAATTATAATATTATAAAATTAATTGTTTTTTATAAATATATTATTTATTAAATATATTTTAAAGCTGAAAAAAGGATAGCGTAAAGAGAATAAAATTTCATTTTTCTTAGAACATATAAAATTTGTCAATTTGATTATTTTAAATATATTATTGTATTAATTAGAATAAAAAGTTACTGTACTAATTTTTTAATGCATATATTAACATGATAAGACAGAATTTTCATTAAATTATATAATTTAAATTAAAATATAAATTAATTTTTATAATATATTAATAAAAAAATATAAACTAATATGTAAGGGTAAAATAATAAATTAATTATTACTATCCTTCTTCTCCCCTCCTTAAACCAAACAAGGGATTATTAAATATCCTCTTCTCTTTTTTTTTTAATCAAACCAAACAAAGTGAGGATAAAATCTTCCCTCTCCCTCTCTCCCCTACCTTCCCCTCAAATCAAACAAAAAAATGTAATTTTTCATGTTCCTTCGAAGGGTGACATACAAGTGATTAATTTTATCTATTTTTTTTTTTTTTTTATCTCCTCGTGAATCGTATGTTTGGCCCTTAGGGAGAGGAGAAAAGGTCAAAAGGCGAAGTGCTAGTGATCACGTGGGAGAGAATAAAAATGTGGAAAGAAGGAACAAAGAGAGTTAAAAAAATAAAATAAAATACAGAGGAGAGAATTTATTGGGTCACTAGGAGGAGAAAGAGGAAGATAAGAGGGGAAAAAAAATAATATGAGTAATTATTTAGAAATTAAATATTATTTATTATAATTAAAATATTAATATTTTAACTTATTTTAAATAAATTCTAATATTTTAATATAATCAGTTTGACTTCGAATTGATTCTGACCTAAGGAACAAAAAACTGGACCAGGAACTAAATTGGTCGAGGCAGTCGGTCAATGGTCACTGGTCAGATCGATCATATTAAAATAATATAATTTAATGCAATCATCAATTCATCATTCTAATTTCTAACACTTCTAATTATTAGCTAACCAGCAACAGAGTGGAGAAAGCAAAAAATAATCAATTATCTTTCCAACATCTAATACTATGCCTCTGTCTCCACTACAAGTACTTAAATAACCAAACCTCTCAGCTAGTGAAGAAACTCGAAAGGTAGGGGCAATCTGGTGAAAGGAAGAAAGCAAAGCAGAAAGGCAGAAGTCTCAAGTAGCTTCGAGTGTTCAATAACTGAACTTTAGCTAGAGATTTTTATCTTCCCTCACTTCCCATTTCTCAAACCTCTCGGCCAGTGGAGAAAGGTAGAGATCAGAGATATTTGTTAGTTTATCCCTAAAATCACAACCTAGCTAAAAGGGGAGGGAATGTTTTTTGAGCTTACCCAATGCGCCAAAACTTGCATGATTGATTAAATTTGAACCAAGAATTTGAACTAGGCGAGGAGCAAAATCCAAGATTTGGAGAGGCAACCACCGTGCCCCCTCTGTCTCCACTCTCCACGATGCACGACAAATCAACCACCATGCCTCGTCTCTGCCACAAGTCGACCAACATGCCGCTGTCTCCACTCTCCACTGTAACTCAATGGCACTGCAAGGGATTTGGAGCAGGGAGAACAGTAGACTAGAATGAACTCAACAAAGAAGGGAATGGGAATCTTTGTCAACCACCATGCCTCCGTCTCCACTACAAATCGACCACTGCACTGCTGTCTCCACTCTCCAAGGCAACTCAACGGTGATGCAAGGGATTTAGGGCAAGGAGAACAGTTGAGCTCAACGAAGATGGAAATGGGATTTTGGCCAAGAGATAGGGACCAGGGGAATTGAACAACAGCCCTGGAATTTTTTTTTTTTTAAGTTGGATGATGTCGTTTGGGCATTGGGTGGGGAAAAAATTAAATCGGTCGACCCCCCACACTGGGAGGTTGACAGGTTTAATACCAGCTTGACCTATTAATTACCGGTTCTATAGGTAACTGGTTTTTTTTCCTTGAACCAGATTGGACTGGAGACCGGTTCACTGGTTTTCCGGTTGAATCGGTTAGTCTGGTCTGGTTTTTTTTTTCTTGTTCTAACCTAACCCATTAAGCCTTAAACAATTGCTTTAACTGGTCTAGTGTTTGACCCAATTTTTTGTTCCTAGCTCAGGATATCACAGGCCAGGATTTTTTTTTTTGGGCCAACAAGTAGAATTTAAATAAAGAAAAAAACATAATTACTAAAAAGTCTTAATAACAGTCTAAACAGCTTATAATGACAAGTTTAAAAATTAAAAAAAAACAATGACCAGTTTAAAATTTTTTTTTAAAAAAAAACAACTTCTTCTCTTCCTCCGGCACCTTCATGACCTCTTCGCATCCCGCCTAAGCGGAGACATCGCCGATTCTCTTTCCGGATCATGAACCGATGTAGGATCCGATAAAAAGAAGGAGGACCAAAGAGGCAGCAGGATGATGATGATGTTGGGGTCATGGTAGCCGGAGGAGCAGACTTCACCGAATTGGGATAAGATGACGACGACGAGGATCTAGAAATTGCAGAGAAGGGATATATAGTTTGGCGGCTTTGCGGAAGAGGCCTATAATTTGCGTTATGAGAATGTGACAAAATGCTTGCTGGTTTGTTCCACTTGATCTCGATCTTGCGTGCCTACCTTTCCCAGGTTTCTCTGGTTGTTTTAAGCGCAGAAGATGGCACCATTGCGATGAAATAGAGCCACGTCGGGGGAAGAGACACACAAATTGAGGTTTGGGTTGAAAAATAATGCTCCTGCGCTGCTTAATATCCAATTATTAAGTTGGTTTTGGTTTTAAATATAAGATTTATTTTTTATATTTATCAATTTTTTAAAAATTATTCCTATGAATACTTCCTCAATTATAATCAAGTAGAAGAGGAAAATAAGATATTAAGGAAGATGATTATAATGTTTTAGGAAAAACATGTCATATTTATTATAATTAATTAACTTACATAATTTTCTTAATTTAATCAAATTAGTTAAATAGGTCTTATATTAAGGATTGGGAGAGTACTTCCTTCAATTTGGTTTTATATATAAAATTTCAATCCACTTTATTTTTTTATATTTATCTATTTTTTTAAAAATAATCTTTATAATAGTTGCACATTTTAAAGATCCCATCAAATTATATTAGGTAATATATATAATTAGTAAGGATATTTTAAATAAGACAATACCTAATTATTACAAATAACTAACTTAGTAAACTTTCTTAATTTATTCAAATTAGCCTATTAGTTCTTATATTAAGGGTCAGAAGTAGTATAATATTAAAGAGTATAGGTGTCCGAAATGAGCAAGGACAGAGAAGCTTAGGGGCAATTTAGTCTCTCTATATTTCTAAAATTATTTTGGTCCTACTACCTAGGAGTCTTCACAGAGCCCAGTTGCCGGCTATGTCCACTCAAAAAAATGCCCAGCCCGCCCTATAAAAATGCCTTGAAAGAAATATTGGACATATTCAAGTCGGGCAAATTATTGGACAGGGTTGGGCATCAGTTGGCCCTATCAGGAAAAATATATATAATTTTATTCCCCTCATATTTATTTTCTAAATCAAATGTACTATTGCATCAATATTTAGTGTTTATTATACTTATGTAGTTTTAAATAATTTTGAGAGTTAGATGTCTTATCATTTACTGCGATCTATATGACTATTCGTTTTTTTTTATTGCAAACATTGTGACTATTGGCAA